AGAGCTTTCAGAAGCTCAAGACAACTTTGACTACAACCCCAGTATTAGTATTGCCTACAGGTTCAGGGTCCTACACTGTCTATTATGATGCCTTGAGGATTGGACTTGGAGCGGTATTGATGCAGGACGGTAAGGTGATTGCCTACGCATCTAGAAAGTTAAAGGTGCATGAGAAGAATTATCCGGTTCATGATCTCGAGTTAGCAGCTATTGTTCACGCNACAGGATAGGGTTCGGCGAGGTGATGCTAGAGATATGACTATTGGTGATGACGGTGTGATGAGGATGCAGGGCCAGATCTGTGTGCCCAATGTAGATGGGCTTCGGGAGTTGATTCTCGAGGAGGCCCACAGCTCGCGGTACTCTATTCATCCTGGTGCCGCGAAGATGTATCAGGATTTGAGACAGCACTACTGGTGGAGGAGGATGAAGAAGGATATAGTTGGGTTTGTGGCCAAGTGTCTCAAATGTTAGCAGGTCAAATATGAGCACCAGAGGCCGGATGGATTACTTCAGAGGTTAGAGATCCTAGAGTGGAAGTGGGAGCGGATCACCATGGACTTTGTAGTTGGACTTCCATGGACTTTGAGAAGGTTCGATACTATTTGGGTGATCGTGGATCGGCTGACCAAGTCAGCTCAATTTATTCCAGTGTTGACCACTTATTCTTTTGAGAGATTGGCTGAGATTTATATCAGAGATATTGTCCTCCTTCATGGTATTCCAGTATCCATCATTTCAGACAGAGGTACACAGTTCACATCACGGTTTTGGAGAGCCGTGCAGCAGGAGTTGTGTACTAGGGTGGAGCTGAGCACAGCCTTTCACCCTCAGACGGACGGGCAGTTCGAGCGCATGATTCAGATTCTTGAGGATATGCTTTATGCCTGTGTAATGGAGTTTGGAGGATCATGGGACCAACAACAGTTACCAGTCCAGCATTCAGATAGCACTGTGTGAGGCTTTTATGGTAGGCAGTGCCGGTCCTCAATGGGATGGTTTGATCCGGGCGAGGCCCGATTATTGGGTACCGACTTGGTCCAGGATGCCCTGGATAAGGTGAAGGTGATTCAGGAGAGACTTCGCACAGCCCAGTCCAGGCAGAAGAGTTATGTAGACCGGAAGGTTCGTGATTTGGCATGTATGGTTGGTGAGCGGGTATTGCTTCGAGTATCTCCTATGAAGGACGTCCTGAGGTTCGAGAAGAAGGGCAAGTTGAGCCCGAGGTTCATTGATCCTTTTGAGATATTGCGGCGAGTTGGAGAGGTTGCTTATGAGCTTGCCTTGCCTCCCAGCCTAGCAGGAGTTCACCTGGTATTCCACGTGTCAATGCTCCGGAAGTATCACGGTGATCCGACTCATGTATTGGATTTCAGCTCAGTCCAATTGGACAAAGATCTATCTTATGTTGAGGAGCCAGTAGCCATTTTGGACAGGCAGGTCAGAAAGCTCAGGTCAAAGAATATTGCTTCAGTAAAGGTCCAGTGGAGGGGTCATCCGGTCGAGGAGGCGACTTGGGAGACCGAGCACGATATGCACAGCCAGTACCCTCATATTTTCACAGTTTCAGGTATGTCTTTATACTCGTTTGAGGACGAATGATTGTTTTAAGAGGGGGAGGATGTAACGACCCGGCCGGTCGTTTTGAGAATTTGAGCCCCGATCCCCTAATAACTATTTTCCCCACGTTTGTTTCCGCTATTGAGACTTGCCGGAGTGATTGGTTATGGAATTCAGAGAGTTTTGGGACACTTAGTCCCTAGTTGTGAGTTTAAGCCTTGGAGTTTGGATCGTAGTCGGAACTTTGTGAAGACAGATCCGGAATGGAATTCCGTGGACTCCGTTAGCTCCGTTGAGTGATTTTGGGGTTGGGAACGCATCCGAAATGTGTTTTGGAGGTATGTAGTAGATTTAGGCTTGAATTGGCGAAAGTTAGTTTTTCGACGATTTCGTCCGATAGTGAAAATTTTGATATCGAGCTCGGAATGAAATTCCGAAGGTGGCTGTAGGTTTGTAGTGTCATTTGTGACCTATATGTAAAATTTGAGGTCATTCGGACTAGATTTGATGTGGTTCGGCGTCGTTTGTAGAATTTGGAAAATTTTAAATTCTTAGGTTTGAATCCGTGCTTAATTCATGATTTTGGTGTTGTTTGATATGGTTTGAAGGCTCGACTAAGTTTGTATGGTGTTATAAGATTGGTTTGTAGGTTTGGTTGAGGTCCCGGGGGACTTGGGTGTGTTTCGGATGCTTAACGGAATGAATTTGGACTTAGGAAATATCTGGTGTTTTTGCTGGTTCTGCTACAATCGCACCTGCGCAAGGCTGCCCGCAGGTGCGAGAAAATTGGCGCAGAAGCGAAGTTGGGTGGATTGGTCTGGGGTCGCAGGTGCGTGGGAAAAGGACGCATCTGTGATGCCCGCATATGCGCAAGACTGTTTGCAAGTGCGCAAGTTAGGCAGAAGCGGAGGGGATTTCCGCAGGCGCGCACGCGCAGGTGCGGCCCTTTAGTCGCAGGTGTGAAGGCAGAGGGGGGCAAGTGAATTGTGCAGATGCGCACTTTTTTCACACAAGCGCACCCGTAGGTGCGAGCCCAGGTTCCGCATGTGCGAAAATACCTGGGCAGTGGTTAAAACCGAAGGGCTTCGCGATTTTTGTCATTTTTGACTTTGCAAACTATGTTTAGGGCGATATTTGAGGGCATTTTCGAGGCATTTCTTGAGGTAAGTCCCTTGTGCTTATTTTTTATCAATAATCTTGCTTTACCATGTATTTTCTCACCTAGTTAGTGTGTATTTAAGGTGAAAAATTGGAAGTTGGAGGCTAGGGATTTGGAAGTTTGATTTGAGGATTTGGAGGACCATTTGGTGTCGCATTTTAGTAAATTTGATATGGTTAGACTCGTGAGTGAATGGGTGTTCAAAATTTATAATTTTTACCCGATTCCGAGACGTGGTCCCGGGGAGACTTTTTTGGCGTTTTCCCTGATTTCACGCTTTAGCTTCGAATTAATTAGCTAAATTAGTTACTTGTAGTTATATTTACATTATGAAATTAATTTGAATAGATTCGGGCCATTTGGAGTCGGATACTCGTGGCAAGAACGTGATATCGAGTTGATTTGAGCGGCTCGAGATAAGTGGCTTGCATAACCTTGTATTGGGGACTTTCCTTTAAGATGTTTGATAATAATTGATGTGTGGACGTCGTGTACGTGAGGTGACGAGTACGTACAGGGGCTATTATTGCAAAAATTCCATTTTTTCCTTTCTAAATCATAAACTGTTTTTTTTTGTTATTAAATTGCACTAATACGTTTAATTGTTAAACTTAGACTAAAGAAGCATGCTTACGTATTTTAACTGCCTATTTGACATTCTGTACGCCATGCTTAGTTAAGTTCCTACTTTCTTTATATGTGTTCAGTATAAACTGTATAACTCCATGTCATACCTGCCATTTCATCTTGTGTTGCATATTTAAATTGGGACTACGGACGTATTCCGGGAGATCCTCCCTGTACTGCATATTTACGTATTCCGGGAGATTCCCCTGTACTGCATATTTACTTTGGGACTACGGACGTATTCTGGGAGATCCCCCAGCACTGCATATTTACTTTGGGACTACGGACGTACTCCGGGAGATCCCCCTATACTGCATATTTACTTTATGACTACGGACGTATTTCGAGAGATTCCCCAGCATTGCATATTTACTTTGGGACTACGGACATATTTCGGGAGATCCCCCTGTACTGCATATTCATTTGGAACTACGGGACGGTATCCCGGGAGATTCTCCACTGTGTTTACCTTGTTCTGAGCCAAGTACTCCCTTAATTGTTAAATTTTCGAGAATTTCTTTAACTGTGTTACCGTAAATTTTACTTATATCTTTTACTGTTTAATTTATTATATTTACTCCAGTAGGGCCTTGACCTGACTTCGTCACTACTCGACCGAGGTTAGGTTTGGCACTTACTAGGTACCATTGTGGTGTACTCATGCCCTTTCCTGCACATATTTTCGTGTGCAGATCCAGGTGCAAGCTATCAGCCTCGGGGTTAGTGCGTGCTGCTGATTCTAGGAGACTTCAAGGTACTTCTGCTCCGCAGATCCTCGGAGTTCCCTTCTACTCCCTCGCCTAGAGACTTTCTTTATTATCTTCAGACTTTTGTGTAGAGCAACATAGATTATAGCAGCTTGTGACTTAGTGATATTCCGGGTCTTGGGGAATTATTTTGTATATTCCGAGTGGTACTACTCTTGGCTATTCACAATATGTTATTTATCTTTAAAATATTGTGTTTTTCTTTATATTTTTCGTAATATTAGGCTTACCTAGTTGCAAAGACTAGGTGCTATCACGACACCTTACGGAAGGTTAATTTGGGTCGTGACAACTTCGATCAAATTTCTCAACATAAGTCTTTGTTAAAGTCATATTGGCTACGGAACCAAACCCGGTTAGACCGGCTCTGATACCAGTTTATTAGGATCGGGAACTCGGGTAGTACGGAATTTAGCCAAACAACGGTATAACGACAATAACAAAGACAATGAAAGTTGATAACAACAGCAATTAAAGAATATAAAGAAGACACAAATTTAACGTGGTTCGGTCAGTGTGACCTACGTCCATAAGCGGAGAAGAATAATTTTACTATACCAATAAGAATACAAAAGAGAGTACAAAATTAGAGTAAATACTCTAATTAATCCCAAATACCCTAAGAGAATAACCTCACAAGATCACTCCAAAGAAATGGTTCACACAAGTGCTTCCCAATACTCAACTCTCATACAAAACACTCTTAATAAAGGAAGAAATGAAAAAACAAGAAATGAAGAGTCAAGTCTTGTTGGTGTGTCTAAAATGAACTAATGGCCTTCCCTTTTATAGGCAAAAAAGTCTTGGTCTCTTAGGTGTAAAAGAAGAGATACAACTTGTGCAAATGATGTCCACCACACAATGCAATATTTTTGGGTCCCAAAGAATATTGCCAACAAAGTCTACACTTTGCAAAGATACTTATGCTTACGTGAGATGGACTCCATTAGCCAAAATATTAGCCATAATTACATATAATTATTGTTATTTCCCTCAAATTGTGGTCCCATCTCATTATGAATAATATCAGCTAGCTTATAAGCAGTAAAAATATTATTGCCAATTGTATTCCTTTCATAATTGCTTGGTTTGGGAAACCAAGAATTGCCCAATTGAGCTGCTTCAGATAATGAAGTGTTTGAAAAAGAATTAACAATGGGATATTGTTCATGGTTATAAAGATTGTTTCTCAGATTGGAAGTATAAGGAGATGAAGAAGAGTTGATAATATGATATGGGGAAGGGAAAAATGTTTGGTTTAATAAGTTGGAAGTTCCATTAGAAAGAAGAGGATTAATGCTTGAATCCACCAAAGTGAAGGAACCTGCTGTTGATGCCATTGCCACAGGAAGTGGATGGTTATGTGTTCCTTCATATGTTGTGATCAATATTGACATGTCCTCCACACATCTTTGCACCTAATCAAAAGGCTTAATAAGTAACATGGTTTCTAAATACTATATATTCAATTCTATCTGTATTTTTCCTTTTACATATATATAAATTAGTTTGATCGGGGAACGCTGACCTCGAATAAAGTGCCATATATAATTCCAAAAATTAAGTCAAGAATTTATTTGCTAACCTGCTTTCTTACTGGGCATCCAGGAGCCACAGTGCAACGATAATAAGCTCTAGGACAAGGATTTCCTTTAGCAATTTTTTGACCATATTTCCTCCAATGGCAGCCATCATTCATCTGAAAAATATGATTTTTTTTAATTATTACTTCTGCATTTTTTTATGTTATTCCAAAAAGAATTAAATTCTATATATTGACATTGTAAAAGAATTTTGACAGTACTGACTATCAGGTCAGATAAATGATAACAAGAGGTAATTGTGTCCACAAAAAAGAAAAAGAAAAAGAAAAATGGAACTAGTAACTCCAAAAACAAGGGAAGGGAGGTTATTCACTATAAAATACACAGAGACAACAAAAAATTATTTTCATTGTCACTTTATATAAGTTAAATTCGACAATTAAGTTATATATGTTGGTACAATTCAACTTACTGTGGCAGCTTCACATTTTGCCCGGATTGAAACCCTAGCTTTTCTATTTGGAGGAGAATTCATCACTTGACTTGTAATTCCTCCAAAGTTGCTTCCATGTGAATTATTACTACTTTGTATTGGCAAATATCCAGTGGTTGTGGCATCTTCTTGTTTCTCTTTTCTTTCTTCATCTGCTTCTACTTTGCTTGCATTGCTACCACTACTTAATAGTGTCAAAGACAACCCTAATTCACCATCTCCAATATCATTTTCTTGTGATGCTGGTGAATCTGTCCTCTTATTCATATCAAAATCAATACAGTAAGTTCCATGAAGTGAAAGCAAATCTTTAGGATCCTACAATCGAAAAGAACAGAAAATAAAACAAACCCTTCATAATTTGGTTAACTTTATATACAACAAATTACGCTTGAATTATAGCCAAATCAGTATTGTTTCAAGATCATCTATCTATGAACAACAGAGATCCCTGAATATTCATTTGACAAGCTAGCTCGTTAGCGCCCCTTATTTCACTAAAACAAATAGGGAAAAAATTGATTTTGAGAAAGAAGGATTTCTACTTAGATTAGTTTCTTAGTAGTAAAAGATATATAAGGCAAGAAGCAAGGGCATATAATATGAGCCGTTACGCCTTAACGCATTCGTTTTCTTTTATAATTCATGCAGGTAGCTAAGTTTACCTTCTTGCCATTGTTTTGTTGAGTATTTGAGAATTTCTTTTGTAAGTCATAATAATCTTTCATTGTTTGCTCTACTGCCTCCCTTAGTACCTTGTTCTCCTCTTTCATCATGTTCATCTCCTTTTGTAACACCGAGAACTGATACTACAAAAGAACAAACTTTAATTAGTCCTCGTACGTAGTCAAGAACAATATAAGAAGCTTATAAGAAAATATTGCAAGTGATTGAATGTGTACCTCTTCTCTTTTCGAGTTCTTTCCAAATTCTTTTTCTTTACTTTGTATTTTTGCATCAAATTGTGACAATTCTCTTGATGAATTGACTTCATTTGATAGCTCTTCATGATCAAGCTTCAAGGAAAGATCAATTGTCTCTATCTTTTCATCACTTCCAAATTTTCTGCTGTTGTCCATATGGAAGAGAGAAAACGTTGGGCTATTAACTTGTCTTCTTCTCTTTATTTATTACTATATAACTTTCTTAAACTCGCTATTTATGCTGCTTTTGGGGCACCAAAGTCAATTCCAACGTCTCAAATGAGAATAATTAGATATATAAGGACACATCTAAGTGTTGACTTTAATTAACCTATTAATACAAGGTAATTAGAGGTAGTAGTAAGGCAAAACTAATTAAGATATTCTTACATATTGACAGACAGTCTGGCAACACTTGAGCATCCCCTCTCAATATTCTTACATATTGACAAATTACTCGACTATGCTTTAGTTTTGTCCATTAATCTTGTTCATACAAACGACAAATACATTTAGACTTTTAAAGCCGTCCAGTTATTGAATTTGATTTTTTCTAAGTAGTATCATGTTTCAAACATGAACATTTCCACTTGAAAATTCAAACCCTATTGCAAAAGTAATCAAATTAAAGATGCTAATAATAGGGGCACTAAAGGATAGAGGGTAAAACTATTCGACTAACAACATCGTACATAACTAGAAATAAGTGCACTAGATTGTCCTTTTAAATAAAGGTGTGCCGCTAAAGATCTACTTCAAATGCTCGAATTATTTATTCTGCATTCTTTTTCCGAAATCAAATCTTGATTTCAGTTTCATTCAACTTTGTAGAAATCATTAGAAGGTAAAGATTGTAACTTCACTCTTTCTTTTCTCCTAAAATGGTCTCATTTCTAATGGTGATTAAGTAGGTAAATATATTTTCCAAATTATATTATTAATGTACTTGTAGTTTAGATTTCAACCGACTTTACTGCATATATAAGTTCAATAGGCAAAGTATCATGGCATAGAAAGATGATTTTCCAAAAAAATAAAATAAAAAATCAACTGCTTAATTAAGAGAAAAAAGAAAAGACAAAGAACGAAGTTGAATTTTTGTTTATTGGGATCTGTAATGACGCAGGTTAAGGTATTATTATCTTGTATGATACTTGTGTTTCGAGCGAATAATATGGAAATAAGAAATATTTCCAGCATTTCCAACTCATAGTATCTACAGTCTCCACTTCAAGGGACAAACAACAAGTCAACCTATCCAAAATTCATTACACATATATACTATTAAGTTGTATTAATAATGTTGATGATAGGAATTTTGATAATGATGATAATTGATAATAAGAGAATTAAGTATTCAGAAAGTGCTTTTGTCCATATTTGCAAGTAACATCCCGAGCTTGTGCATCTTTCCAAAGTTGTGGACCATTTCCATAAACATTCGAGAATTGTTATTTTATTGACATTATTGCCTAGGGAGGCTTTTTTCAGTCAATTTAGCAGGTCGTAAATTTTGTATACTTGGTGTAACAACTAAAATTTCGTTCCTGAAAATAATAATCTAGACAAAAAATATAGCGACAAATAAAAGTAATTCAATTTCAATAATTGTGATGACCAAAAATATCATCTTTAATTTAAACATTCATTACTGTGTTCTAAAACCTCGAAAAGCACTATCCATCATTTTTCAACTTGCGTGCATAGTCCGTATAATTTTCCGCAAAGTTTTTATGTGAAAAATGGATTAAAATATGAAATAGAGCTTCAAAACTCAATTGAGTTGACGTCGGTCAACATTTTGAGCAAACAGACCCGGATTAGTGTTTTGACAGTTTCAGTAGGTCCGTATCGTGATTTGCGACTTGGACGTATACCCAAAATTTAATTTGGAGGTCCCTAGCTCAAGTTATGGCCATTTAACGGAAACAAAAAATTTAAAGGCTAAAGATTTCCAAAATTTGACCACGGATTTGAATTTTTGATATCGGGGTCAGAATCTGATTCTAGAAATTTTAATAGGTCCGTTATGTCATGTATGACTTGTGTAAAAAATTTGAGGTCAATCGGACTTGATTTAATAGGTTTCGGCATAGAATGTAGAAGTTAAAAATTCTTAAGTTCCTTAAGCTTGAATTAGGATATGATTCGTGGTTTTAGCGTTGTTTGATATGATTTGAGGTTTCAACTGAGTTCGTATGATATTTTAGGACTTGTTGGTCTATTTTGTTGAGGTCCCGGGGGTCTCGGGTGGATTCCGGATGATTAATAGATCAAAATTTGGATTTAAGGAAAAATCTGAAATTTTAGCCTTCTCGTGTAATCACACGTGCGAATTTTGGGCCGCAGATGCGAGCTCGCAGAAGCGAGCCATGCCTCGCAGAAGCGGACGGGGTGTCGTAGAAGAGCGACCGCAGAAGCGGCCCACGCATCGTAGAAGCGAGAAAAGGGGGAAGGGGCAGCCTTGCACAGAAGCGGACGCTTCTTCGCAGAAGCGAGTCCGCAGAAGCGGACTCTTGTCCGGAGAAACGGACTCTTGTCCGCATAAGTGACCCAGTCCGCAAAAGCGACCCAATTTCCGCAAAAGCAGAATCGCAGATGCGGTCAAGTGTCCGCAGATGCGAAAAGCCTCGACAAAACCCATAAAATCGGAAGTTAACCATTTTTACTCATTATTGAGTTTTGAGTCTCGAATTTAGGCAATTTCAAAGTTATTTTTCACGACTTTGAATTGGGTAAGTGTTCTATAACCAAAAGTGATTATATTTCATAAATCCATGTCTATATTCAAATTTAGATTGAAGAAATTGAAATTTTTGTAAAACTTTCCAAAAATGAAAATTTAAGATTCGAATGTCCATTTGACATCGGAATTTGATAATTTTTGTATGGTTGGACTCATCTCGGAACGGGTGTTCGAATTTTGTAAGTTTTTTCGAGATTCGAGATGTGGGCTCTACTATTGATTTTTGAGATGAATTTCAGATTTTAATCCGGAAAATTAGTAAATTCATATGTAATTAATTCCTACGATTTATATTAAGTATATTGAATTGTTTATGACTAGATTTGAGAATTTCGGACACAAATTCACGAGGTAAAGGTTTATTGGAACCTTAAATTTGGTTGCAAAGCGAGGTAAGTGTCGTGGTTAACCTTGACTTGAGGGAGTAGGATTTAATTGTCTATTTATTACATGATTTAATGTGCGGGTACAACGTATATGTGAGGTGACGAGTACTTATGCGTTGTGGTTGAGTCAAAGCATGCTAGAGGAATTCCATTTAATTGTCTAATGGTAAGGGATACACACACACGAGGTGACGAGAGTCCCTGTATAGGATTCAGAGGGTTGGCAGAGCTTGATTGTCCTTTAGCGAAGAGCTATTGGTGGCTGGCATCTGGAAGGGGAAGGGGTCAGCGTCTCATTCGCATAAGCGAAATGGGGAGGGGGTCAGCGTGTCCGCAGAAGCGGACTCGCTTATACGATGAGGGATCGCAGGCGCGGACGTGGGCCATGTGGGCAAGTCGCAAGTGCGAGAGGCTAGCCGCAAAAGCGGGCTCGCAGGTGCGGTGCCCTTCTGCAGATGCGCCTAGTGCTAGGCTGTGTGTATTCCGCAGAAGAGGACCTTTGCCCATAGAAGCGCCGTTGCGGGTGCAACCCTAAGTCTGCATAAGCGAAATCGCTGGAGGCAGTGAGGGCTTTTAATGTCGGGACTTACGTAATTTTAGCTCATTTGTTTCATCTCTTGGGCAATTTTGAGCTCTTTGAAGAGGAGTTTTCACCTAACACTTTGAGGTAAGTAATTTCTATATGAGATGAATTTAATACATGTATTTTGGGTAACTTTTTAGCATATAAAGTGTAGAAATTGTGTTTAGTTGAAAACCCTAGATTTTGATAAAAATGGGATTTTGTCTATTCATTAAATTATTATTGCTTTATTTATTGTTCAATATGGTGAGAAAGAGTATGAAAGCACGAAGGGTAATGTCATTCCATTTTTATTATTTATACTATCATTGTCATGGTGAGAAAAAATATAAAAGCACGAAGGGTGTTGCCGTGTCAATTTTGAGAGTAAAAGCACGAAGGGTGATGCTGTGCCATTTTCACAGAGTGTAAAAGCACGAAGGGTGATGTCGTGCCATTTTTACATAGTATAAAAGTACGAAGGGTGATGCCGTTCCAAGAGAGAGTTAAAGCACGAAGGGTGATGCCGTGCCAATTATTATTATTTATTTATCAGTTTATGGGAGGAATGAGAGTAAAAGCACGAAGGGTGGTGCCGTGCCATTTTCATATTATCAATTGCTCATTTATTGTTGATTAATTAATTGGTTGCTACGTGACACTTCTCCTGCTGAAATTTCTGTATCATTCCCCTTCGCATGTTCCCTCCCAAATTTATAAAGTGTTATTGATTGTACTTATTGTTTTTTCGTATTCGTATATACTTGTACAGGTTGTTTACGTATGTGTCCTACCATAGCCTCGCCACTACTTCGTTGACGTTAGGCTCGACACTTACGGAGTACATTGAGTCGGTTGTACTCATACTACACTTTGCACTTGTCGTGCAGATTTTGGAGTTGATCCCAATGGAATACCATAGACTTGCTGGGATTCAGCTACCCAGAGGAGACTTGAGGTATAACTGCACAACGTCCGCAGTTCTAAAGTCCCCTTCTATCTTATCTTAGCTGTGTACTAGGTTGCAAACATCTTGAATTTTATTCAGACCTTTATTTGTATTATTCTAGTAGCAATGCACTTGTGACAGCAGATTCGGGGATGTATTTTGATGATTCGGTAGTTATGGTCTTCCGCACTTTATTTTAGTAATTGACTTCCGTTTAATTTAATTTGTTTAAAAATAGTTAAGATTATTCTAACATAGGCTTTCCTAGCAAGTGAAATGTTAGGCATCATCACGGTCCCGAAGGTGGGAATTTCGGGTCGTGACAATAATTTATGCGGGTTACAATCTTTGAATAATCTTAAGTTAAAAGATGTAATCCTCTGATTCTTCTCCTCACGACCATCAATTCGAGAGCTTCGTTTGTTCTTGAATTGATGGACCACTTGTTGTTGGGATTTGACCACGAATGTGGAGCTAGTCTTTGATCACAAACGTGGAGGATGAAAACTTGCAGCTCACCTCTGGGAGACGATGACTTCTTG